GAGTGAGTTAGTAATGTGGGCATAGCGCCTTTCTTGGATGGACTGGACTGCGGCGGCTTCACACCACCACGTCTTTCGCTCTCTCACAGTCGGCCTCTGCTCTCTGCCTCCCGCTCTCACACACCCGACACCACACACGTACCCACACCTGGGCGCCCCCCCCCCCCGCTGTTCCTGCTCGCTCTGGGCTCTGGGCTGGGCTGGGTGGCCGGCCGCCGCTGGTGGACGAGGGACCCGACCCGAGAGGGTCCAGTGTCCCGCCGTAGGTACCTGCCTATGGTGGTGGAGTGCAAGTGTCCAGGCCCGCTGAGGCGGACAGCGGGCTGGGCAGCCTGGGCTTGCCTGGTTGACCGCGGTGCTGGCGCAGTCCGCGTGGGAGCATGGCCTTTCGTCTTGCTCCTCCTCGCTAGGGAGGTACTCGCGCCGACTACATACTGACGGCGCTGCTTGCCCATCGCCCTCGTTGAGCTACCTACCTGCTGCCGGGCAGTGCAGCTTGAGGCACAGGGGGTAGCCCAGCGCAGGCGCAGGACTGTAGCACGGCGGGCAGCCAGCGGGAAACACAACACGCCTTCGGGGGAGAGGCCACCAGGGCGGGCGACGGCTTGCAAGGGAGTTTACTGCGTCTGGCACACGCTGCACCAGAATAGGACGGATTGCTGGCAGGGGTGTCCGGTGAAGGCGGGCCCCGGTCTCTGGGCTGTCTGGGCCCGGTCCACGCCCACGGCCGGGCAGTCTTCCTCTTCGTGAAGTGAGCGATTCAACCAATCTCGTAGGTCCTTCTGCTTCTTCTCCTTCTTCATGGGCAAATGGCTCACGGCTCGTGGGCTGGCTGATGGGTGGGCTTTGCCTTTGCGATTGGTGCCCTTTTTGCCGTTCTTTACCCAGCAGGCCAACCACAATCGTCATCGCCTCCTCTTCCAGAGAACCATCCATTCGATCGCCGTCAGAATCCCCGTCTGCTTCGTCCCAATTGTGGCTGTAGGTACCCGCCTGGTAGCTCTGCAGTACCTGCCTTACTGTCTCCCAGCAATCAACCTTTTCCTCTTCTTCGCAGTTGAGCACTGAAGTTGTCCGCAGTCTGACCCCTGGCCTGCTTCTCCAACTCTATCCCTCGCTGGTTTGCCCATCATTTCTGCCGTTGCATCAAACAACCGTTCGTTATCCTTTTCCAATCCTCGTCGACTTCAGCCGTTCTGAGTAATGCACCTGTACCTGCCCATCTCAACGGCCCGCGAATAGAAGACGAGGACATGATCCGGCGAAAATCACGGGAAAACAGACGCCTAGTCCAGAGGGCTTGGAACTGAGCGCAAGCCCATGCACGCAGGGGCCAAGATAGCTGGCGGCGCAAGGTATCCGTAGCTCGCGATACGATACGAAAGCCCGCCGGCGATTAATACGTGCCAGGCGGAAAACAACCCAGAGCATCACCGGACAACCGCCGCCGTGGGATTCTGCCGCATGCTGCTGCTTCTGCTGCTGCTGATGTTCGGGTGTATGGGGTCGTGCAAAAACAACCGAGACCAGCAATTGATCGGACGCATTGCCATGAGAGCACAGATGTTGGGCGCCTCTTCTTTGCCTTTGGCCTTGCAGGACATTCCATGCCGTAGGCTTGGGACACACTTTGGATTGAGCTTGTCTCTGTAATAAGACACTCGCGATACCTCCAAGACACCCGTTCGTCTACCTGAACGACTGAGGCACTACTTAGCACACCGTGCCAGACCCAAAAGGTACCCTGTTCCCGTATCGTGCCGAGGAATCCCGCGCTACGGATACTTCCTTCAGCGCCATATCTCGAGCTAGAGCAATGTACTGCGGTGCCATCAGTGGCGCCGGCCTGTTTCCTCCCCTCCTTTTCCCCTCAATCGGTCCATTCTACCCTACACCAGGAACGACATCTAACTGGCGAAGCCGTCCTCAGAGACGCGGATTCGTCTGCGATCTAATCAATAAGCAGAGCAGACACAAACCCGCAAAGCACGCCAACGCCGCAAACCCGCCAGAATCCATCGCCACCTTCCGAAGCTGAAGTTGGTTCCGTCTGCTCTTCGACAAATCAGGCGTCCCAATCTGCGCAGTGGTCCGTCCGCCGACCCTCCAACCGTGCCGCACTGGAAATATTCTAGAACGGATCTTCAGGTCATTTTTGTTGTTTCCTGCGGATGAGGGTGTTGGGCTTGGCGAAAATCACATCTTAAAAAAATCAGCGTCGCCCGCCTGAATGACACCATGCAAGAAACTCTCGAAACTCGATGCAAACTGCGATCCGGTATTCGGCCTCTTTTGCCGCCGCCCCTGCTGGAGGCGAGAGGGCTGGGACTTGTTTCTTATTGAACAGCGGCCCTCCCTGGATGCTGAGGTGTCACTCCACTCGCCTCCTCATGCAACATCCAGCAATCTCCCCCACAAAACGCCGCACATCCCCGCCGATGATGTAAGGTCGAATGCATTTCCAATCCGCTGCGGCGCCCTGCTCCCGTCCCGCTTGCTTCAACCTGAACCATCAATTTCGCAAGAGCCGCAATGCCAAGTCGTCCCTTCTTAAAATCAACCATGCGTCCAGATTGGAGACGAGACTCTCCGGCGCATCCGCTTCCGCCGCCCGTCAGCACGATGCCCCGGCGAACTGCCCACCGCACAGTCTGGGGAAGTGGGAAACCGCAGAGCGGCCTCTCCCAGTATCCAAACGCGCCCGTCTGACCGATTTTTCCAGGGGGGACTAAAATGCAACGGCCACCCTCGTTGTCTTGATGTGCCCATTATCCCTAGGGAGGCGCAGTCGGTCAACCCTCATCCGAAACCATGCCACGAAGCTTGGTTCCTCCTAGCATGCTTAAGTCGCCTCGCCAGTCTTGTGGTTGCAGTGCCTCCTCCCGCTGTCGACGACGAAATGTGCCACGCTGTGCAACGGTCAGCCACATCACTCGTCTACTGGCATGTCCTCTGCTCCGTTGTCCTCTTCTTCACTTGGCAGGTTTTGGTCTCGCAGGAGCAGAAGGTCCTTGAGTTTTCGCCTGTTGTTGCGCCAAGTAAGAAAATCTTCCTCTCGCTGATCCTGGATCGACGGTGTGATCTGGTTGCCCGCCTCATCAAAAAGGTAGTTTGGGAGCTCGGTCCCATCATTGAGAACATATCGCTTGACTGACACCTGCGGCCCGTCCCCTACCTGCCAGGCGACAGGAAGCATATGTAGATCCTCAATGTGTGATTCGAGGTCTTCTGGTGTGGGGAAGTTGTGAGGCGGTTGCTGTCTGGCGCACTTGGCCCATTGACACCGATACGGCGGGTTTCTCGCGTGTGCTACAGCAACATGCTTCTGAAGGGTAGAAAAGTTGTGAAGCTCTGCCACGCAGCCTTCCCACTCGCAAATGTAGACGTTGAAGTGTGGACTCAAACCTTCGTAGATGGCCCTCGGTTGAGGCGAAGCTGCCCTTGGTGGTCGACCACGCCGCTTCTGCTTTCCCGCGTACATTTGACCTGCCTTTGGCCTGTCCGGGCGTAGTTTCCTTGGTCCCTCTCCTGCATCCCGTGGGAACTTGTTGAGAGCCCCCTTGGGCCGGCCGCGTCTCTTTGGCTGCGGCTTGGGAGTTGTGCCAGACGAAACTGCTTCAACCTCGGCCTCAGCCTCAGCTTCCACCTCATCCTCCGGCTCATCAATGTCCATGTCTGGCAAGGCCGGTTTGGACAGGCTCACGCTTGAAGCCGCCTGAGCTGCGAGCCTCCTGAATTGAGGAGAGAGGTCGGATACGACCAGGTCGTCAGCATCATCTTCTACAGTTCTTGTTGGAGTTGTTCGCGAGGGCTTCCTTGGACTGGACTTGATGACGACAGCGAAGTTTGACTTCTGTGCGGGTTGTGCCGGCGATGTCTTCTTCGCTGCAGCAGGTGTTCTGACTGGTGGGAAATTGCTATCCGAACGACGGCTGAAGAATCCATCAAGCGTGCCTTGTCGAGGCAGAGGTATATGACTGCGAGAAATGCCGTACTTTGGTTTTGGTTCTGAAGGCAACGGGGGCGGCATCTTGGCAACCTTGGTGAGATTCGCAATTGAGCAAAGTTGGGAGATCCAGGGATCTCAGCTCAGACGAACTCGTGGAGCCTCCCGAGTTTGGGTCAAATGGGTCGGACGGGTGATTCTGAGGATTCGAGAACAGCCGAAGACGAAAGACAACCTCGTATGATTAAGACGTAATGATATGGTTGAGCAATCAGACTCGCTGAAAGACCGTGAGGCGGAGGACGTTGAGCAAAGGGTTTGATGGAGTGAGGTGAGGACGCGTTGGCAGGTGGTAGACAGCGCGCCTCTCACTGAAAATAAGTGGGGTTGCCTAATCGGGTTGACTAGCGGTTTGTTCCTGCCCTGCGCCAGCTCTCCAGCTCGATGGATAGGCTCATCTTCTTCTAGAAACAACGTCTTTCTAAGATCTATAAATACAAAACTGCTCAAATGGAATTTAAATACAGTTTAGGTGGAAATCTTGACATCTAATTGTCCATGGCATCAAGTATCTACCACCGACGACCATGACCTGACAGGCATTAGATGGAGCTGGGGCACGCCAGATACATCACCTGTCACCGAGCCTTCAATCGCACATGTAAGCCATCATGACAGGATAGCATCAAGAGACCATCAGGAATCGGGCTGAGTGACTGTAATCATGAATTTCGGGCTTATAAACTCTCAATTGAGTTCCATTGTGTTCGGTCGGACCGGATCGGAGGCCGTAATTGGAGCAGCCGGAGGGAGGAGATGGGTATTATTAATCGGTCGTCCCGTTCGGCCCTCCGCACATGCCGTCATGCATCCGACCAATGGTCTAATCCTCTTCCGGGCTGCGGCGTCTAGCCTGCAGCCCATATCGACATAAATGCTTCACCCCTCACCGAGCTTTCGCCAGTCTTACAATTGTTGTACTGCCTTGGCCACTCCCGAGTTATCCAGCGAATGACCCCTAGAACAGATAGTCGAGTACCTACAACCAAGAAATATGGCGTCCAAGTCCTTCTACGCAATCGTCGCCGGAGCCGGCTCCGGAACAGGTAATCTACAATTCTTACGATGACGAGCCCGGATAGTAAAGCTGACGACTGAACCAGGCCGTGCCGCTGCCGTCCGCTTTGCGCAGACCTACCCTGTTGTGCTTCTCGCCCGCAAGCCAGAGAGCTACAACGACATCGTGAATGAGATCAAGCAGTCTGGTGGCAAGGCCATTGGTATCACGGCCGATGCGACGGATGAGACCGCCATCAATGCCGCCTTTGAGACTATCAAGAAGGAATTGCCTGGTAGCAGGCTCGCCGCTGCCATTTACAACGTCAACGCAGGCTTCGCTCGCAAGCCTTTCCTGGAGCTTACGAAGAAGGACCTTGATACAAGTCTAGATGCCGCTCCGTACGTGTACATGTCACCTTTGAAGCTAGTGAGCATGCTGACCTCAGATGCAGGAAGGGCTTTTTCTCCTTTGCCCAGAAGACGCTGCCTCTTCTCTTGGACTCAGTCGCAGACTCTCCGCACCCGCCGTCTCTCATCATCACCGGCGCCACGGCCTCGCTCAAGGGCTCTGCCTATTTTGGCTCCTTTGCGGCGGGCAAGTTTGCAATGCGCGCTCTGGGTCAGTCCCTGGCTCGAGAATTCGGCCCCAAGGGCGTGCACGTGGCTCATGCCATCATCGACGGAGGTATCGACACGCCATGGGGCAAGGAGTTCCAGGTCAACGACGGCGTGGAAGATGGCAAGATCTCACCCGAGGCCGTACGTGTACTCGATCTGTCTAGCTAAACTCCAAGCTAACAAGCTAACAATTCTTCCAGATCGCCGACACTTACTGGTTTCTGCACACTCAGCACCGGTCCGCCTTCACGCAAGAGGTTGACATTAGACCGTATGTTGAGAAGTTCTAAAATAGCATGCTTGTAGCTAGGCCAAAGGGGACCTGCGCTGTAATTGAGGTATAATCAACAGATTCAATCTGGCGTATCTTAGGGTTTTTGACGACCCTCAATCCTTACCCTCTCAAAGTGGAAGCTTTCACGATTTCGGTGCTCATAACGTGGTGTGCACGTCGCGAACGTAGTCATACGTCATTGATCTTAGGACTGAAAAGTAGACGGTTCCGCCATGTGGCTTGGCGTCACATCCACATGGCCGCCGGATAACCTGGTCTTCAGGTGCTCGGAATCGGCCCGTTTCGTGGTGATGCTCGCCGCCTCAGGCGTGTACAATTTGGTTGTCTCGCTGGTAAAATATTCAAGAACCAGATGCCCCAGGAGCCGCATCCGCTGCTGGAGGCAAGACACCGCCGTTGAGTACCAGCAATCGTTCCTCCTCCTTCTTCTCCCGCAGAGCCTGGGTCTCTGCGCGCAGCTTCTCCAGGTTCCAAACACCGTCATCGTCGTCGTTATCGCTGGCGTCGTCGTCGTCCTCTGTTGTGCGCCAGTTGCCGCTCTCGAACAGAGCACGACCAGTAGCTTCCTTGGCCTTCTTGGCTGCTTCCTCGGCAGCCTTCTTGTCCATGCGCTCCTTCTTCCACTTGGCGAACGACTCGGGGGTGACGGGTGTGAGAGTCCCGGTAAGTTTGTGTCGTTCGGACTCGAGGAAGTCTTCGAGGGTCAGAGTCTTGAGGGGTGACTTGTCCATCAAAGCCTTCTCGGCGGCACGCTGTTCCTTGGTCTTCAGGATGAATCTACAGGTTGTTAGTTAGTTACGGTGTTGAGTTCTGCATCGACTTCACTTACCCTGGTGGCAGAGCATGCTTGTATTTGCACTCGTTGCCTCCATTTGGACACACCCAGAACCATCCGTATTTGCCGTCTTCGATGGCCTCGATGAAGAACTTGCAGACCTTGTCCGTCGTTGTCTGCTGGTTTCCCTTCTTGGAAAGAACGACCGAGCGCAATTTCTCTTCGTCCCAGTCGGCGGACGTCTCTGCCTTCTTCTTCTCTTCCTCGTCCTTACGGGTATCGGTGTACAAGCTCCTCTTCTCCGTCTTTCTCTCGTCGTCTAGGTTATGGGAAAACTTGCACTTCTTTCCCTTCTCGCAGTTGCCCTTCTTGAAGAAAATGCAAACGACAGTCTTGGGATCGACGCCAAACGGAACCTTCTGAATCTGGGCAGGCTTGTTCATGAGGAGGTCCAACTCCCTCTTCGCATCTTCCGCGGCCTTCTTTTCTCTCTCCCTCTGCGCCTTCTCCGCCTCCTTGCGCTTTTGGTCAGCGCTGCCGCCGTTCTTCGCAGATGCGTTCATCTGAGCAATTTGCTTCTGAGCGGCACCACCCTTCTTGTTCTTCATGCCGAAGGTCTTGTCCTCCACCGCCTTGGAAGCCGATGGCTTCTTGGCAGCGCCCTTGTCATTCTTCTTGGGAGGCATCTTGGCGGGGTATTCGACGGGGTCTAGAAAACTGTGGCGGGGGTAGCCCGGAGGCTTCTGTAAGGACTGTGTCGGTCGGGTTTTTGGAGGTCTCGATGGGAATGGTTGCCTTGATGTGTCGAGGAAGGCAGGATCCGCTTCGATCGACAGGACGCAAAAAAGTCGGCTCTCGAGAAATACAAGCAGAATGTGAGGCAGGATGAAGTCAGAAGTCCAAGTCACGGTGGGCGGGTCACGTGAAGGGCTTGCGTTGGTGGGGGCGGAGCGTCAAGGAGGCCTGGCTCACGCCGGGACTGGGATGCGCTACGGATACGTGACTCACTTACTGCGGAGGACCCAAGTCCATTGTCACTCGGCGGCAGGCCTTAGCGCGGCGAGCTCCAGTCGTCTACCTGTCCCGTTCGGCTCAACACCAACTTCAAACCCATGTGCGCGGCGCAACCATCTCTCAGCAACACGTCGTAGAAGCTGGTCAATTCCTCACATTTCGAGTTGGAAAATATCAGCGTAAGTCAGGAGGACCTGCTTCGCATTGCACTACCGGATGACGGAAAAAAGAAGCTGACCCAGTGGAACAGTCACCCTCCAAAGCTACCCATCTTCGACGTGCACCCCTATTGCTGTCGCGCAGCCGATTCCTCGTTCACCATGATTTCCGACAACGATCTCTACCGCCTTGCGATCTTCCTTGGCTCCGCAGCCATGGTGTTGATCATCCTCTACCACTTCGTTGAGGTCAACTCCAAGGAAAACGACAAGACCCAAGAGAAGCCCGCCAAGGTCAAGGGCTCTTCATAAATGCATGTCGGCATACCGCCAGTCGGGACATAGAGCAAGGAACAAACAGTTGATTGTACGATAATCCGCGGCGGCTTCTTGAAGTATCTACATTACTTCCAGCGTCGTGCGGTACAAGACGACGTCCAATCTCGAGGCATCACATCAGGAGGTCGGTGGATGGCAGGATGCTGCGGACAGAGGATGCTGCAGAGACCCTCCGTGTGTGAAAGAACTACAAGCAAAAGGCACAGCAGCGATAGACTGCTTCACGGCAGTCTACTTCATGAGACGACGGGGTCTGATATACCCGTTGCGACAGCAGATGTCGCATGGTCTACATAATTCAAGCACAAATTTGAGCATAGGAACCTTTTCGGAACTTTGTGACGTGAGGCGTATTTCCAGCCACCTTGGATGACTGACGGTCTTCAGCCCAGCGGCGCGCCGCCTGAGGCGGTGTTGTCAGCTGCTCCTTCGTCGCCTATCAGCCTTATAATGCAAAAAATTGTCCCTTATTTTCGCCTGCGGGCATTTGGTCAAATTGTAACGGTACAGAGAAGATTAGCATGGCCCCTGCACAAGGATGACACGCTTAACCAAAGAGACTGCTAAGATTTTTTTGCACATGGTAGGACCAAAATGCAGAGAAAGAAACGTCGGTTTCAACAATGCACTTTTACACATTCTTTCCTCGAAGCTGTTAAAGCAAAACTGCGTGAAATTTGCTTCAAAGGCGATTCGAACACAAAACTTCGTCGAATTTAGAAAATTAGAGTGATGCGGCCTTGGGCATCATTTGAGGCCAAAATGATGCTGCTTATCATGAACATGGGCAAGCTTGATGAGCTGGACAAGCACTAATAGTTGAGCTGTAGAGGTGCGCCTACACCTTACGTAAGGTCCAGATGAAGGATGTGCGGCCTCAGATGCGGACCGTTGCTTCCTGCGCTGGGTCGGAAGGCAACAGCTCAAGCGGGCCTTTCCCAATTTAGATTAGTCCCATCCAATCACGCCTCCGCCTCAGGCCCCTCTTGTTTTTGTCAGGCGCGCCGCAGCCTGGTCCTGCTTGGCTCAGGCGCTCCGCTAGCAAACTGTCCCGCGTGCCTGCCTCCTTTCCCTTTTCGCCCGCGCCCGACTGTTCCATCCTCCTTCCGCAACTACTTCTCCTTTCCCAAGACAAGACTCATAAATCTCGACCACCGTCACGACCACATCGACTTTCACATAATAATTTTTCATTCCATCGCTGCGCTACCACCATTGCTCTGCAGCTTCTGTATTCCTCACTGCCTTTTTTTCCCCCCCAGACCGACCACTTCTCACAAGAAAGCTCTTCGCGCAAACTTTGAACGCGTCAAAGTTAGATCCTCTCCTTCAAAACACCACGCACCACATCGCATCGCGACCCATCGCCTGATTACCTGTCAGAAGCGACCGACTCAGCTGCGCAAATACCTCGCAGCAAAACCATTCATACCCTCAAGCCAACATCCCCCAAATTCACATTCACCATGTCTGGCAAGCTTGACCAGTCTCTTGACGAGATCCTCTCCACTCAGCGTCGCTCCTCCGGCGGTCCCCGTCGTCGCTCTCAGCGCCGTTCCACTGGTCGCCCTGCGGCCGCTGCCCCAGTCGGCGGTGTTCAGAAGACATCGAAGCCTGCGCGTGCCGCCGCAAACAAGCCCAACGCCGCTAAGCCCTCGCAAGGCTCTGGTGACAGCAAGGTCATCGTGAGCAACCTGGTAAGTCGCACGCCTGCATCGCTACCAACTCCTACTAACTTCTCCGCAGCCCAAGGATGTCTCCGAGCAACAGATCAAGGTATGTTGCCGATAAGGCTCTTCAGCCCTCGGACTTTGTTCGACCTGTCATTTCTCGCCCGTCCTCTTTCCCTACCGGCGCCGTAGCGAGATGAAACCCATGGTGGCCATTGCCACTTGCCAGCTGGAACATGTCAAGATACCGCAAGACTCCTTCCTCGATGCTGCAATTCCTGAGATATGGTGCAGAGCCCATCGGAAGTTGAGCACGCCCTGGTCGCGCAATGAAATTGTCATCTTGGGTAGCCTGGTCAGCACCTTGGAAGATTGATAGCGCAGACTGCAAATGGGACGTTGGTAGTCACATCATGTTCAACCAACAGCTTGGTGCGAATGCTGTCCACCAAGCATAGCAAGCAACACGAGATGTAGCCCTTTCAGCGAGCACAGCAGTGAGCATGAGCGCAGCACAGGCTAGGATGGCTCCCATATCTAGCTTCGCCGCTATCGGTATGCCGACCTAGCATGACTCGAATTCTAGAGGGATCTGGGGGATTTATGCGAGCGATCAATATGGCTGAAATATGCCTGTTGACTAAAGTGCCAATGCCAACTGCTCCGAGACTTGGCTGCGACTGTTTCTTTTCCGAATTGGGGTGATACCCTTCGACAAGACGGCGACTTCGTGCGAGACGATTTGACTTGGCTGGGCATCTGTTGGGATGGACGCTGACACGCGTACTAACGCTCACTGCTCTGCTCGCTTCCATTGTCCCATGCTCCGGCGATTCTTGGATTCTCGGTTTCTTGCCCTGCCCGGCGCGGATTTAGAAGACGACGATTGTGATTGATATACAGCGCTTGCGGTTAACTAACATCGACTTCCATCAGGAGTACTTCCTCACTTCAGTTGGACCCATCAAGAGGGTAGAAATTTCCTACGGACCCAACTCCGTCAGCCGCGGCATCGCGAACATTACCTTCCGTGACGCGGATGGCGCTAGCAAGGCCTTCCAGAAGCTGAACGGTCTTCTCGTCGACAACCGCCCCATCAAGGTATGTGATACACATGATGCTGCTAGTTGTGAATCCGTCTCACAAATGACAGATTGAGATTGTTGTCAGTGCTTCTCAGGCTGCCAACGTCATTCCCCCCTCCAAGACTCTTGCTGAGCGCACTTCGTAAGTAGAGTCTGAGCAGATCACTACCGGCTCGACACTAACAGGTTCACAGTCAGCCCAAGGCTCAGCCTAAGTCGGCTGCCATTAACAAGCGCAACGCCAATGCCAATAAGGGCCCCGCTGCTGGAAATGCTCAGGCTGGCAAGAAGCCACGCCGTGCCCGCTCTGGTCGCCCCGCCAAGAAGACTCAGGAGGAACTTGACTCTGAGATGGCTGACTATTTCGAGTCTGGCAACGCTAACAACGAGAATGCTGCGGCTCCCGCCCCGGCTGCCACGAACGGCGACGCCGCCATGGAGGAGGACATCATGTAAACTGAGCTCAAGCATAGACTTGGCCTCGGATACGCCCACGAATGCCAGGTACTGAGAAAGTCGAAGAAGGACAACGCGTGGGGGCGCCTTTGATCTTTCCTTTTTGCGCGTTTCGTGAGACTCTCACAACAGAATGCTGGAAGGGGAGTAGACGAGCGGAGGCTACGGGATTCTGGCTTTGATTTTGACACGCATTGGTTTTCAAACTTACAGATTGCCTCCCCAGCCTTTCGGCTCAACCCAAAACTACCAAAATGGTGCTCTCGGCTCGAAAGAACTGAAAAGGTACTGACATATACATTTGCTTCGCCCGGTTGTTCGGTAGTAGGGCATGTACTATAGCAAACCTCAAAGTCACAGCGACTTTAATACACAAAACGCCGAGCCCCCAACATGAGTTCCAATCTGATTGCGTGAAAGTGACAAAGCGAAGTTCGTAAGCCTGATGCCACCAAGCGAGGCTTACGTCGGTCTTAAGTAGATGATCTGCCAAATATTGATGTTGATATCGCAGGGTTTTCCCGCCGGTTTTAGACTGTAAATAGTGGTAGCAGGTCAGACGTCATCATATGATTCCCAAAAGCAACGCCTAGGCAAGTCACAGATGAATAGAGTGGGCGGAGAAAGATTGCTGAATTGACTTAATGAATCGGCCTGGTCCCCAGACGACACTATCCGCAGTGGCCTAGTATGGGCAGAACCGAATACCGCCTCAGCTAAAATCCTTGGATGAAGACACAGAGAACAGCGATACCTCTTCGTCGAATGCCTTGTCTCTCTGCCCATCCTCCGTAACCCCCCTAAAAACACATCACACATAACGTCTTTCTTTTTCATCTTGATCAAAGAGTACATTCAGGTCATGAGTCTAGAGCGTAGATTCCGCGGTCCCGCAAGTAAGAGCCGAAAACGCCTGCTGCTTTTGCCAAGGAGCTGGGCTCTGATACCGGGAAAAGTCGATCTCTCGAAGTGGGTTCGACAGGTGAAGAGGGGAATAATGAACCAGCTTATTTCTCGGCAGCCTTGCCGGCGGCCGGGCTCGCCTTGTCGTCCTCCTCACCCTCCAGAGGGGGCATGTCATCGTCATCCTCCTCCTCGTCGTCGACGTCCTCCATACCCGGGGCACCGCCTCCGAGCTTGGAGAAGTCGATGCCGCCGAAGTCGCCGCCAGCGCCGCCCATGCCAGGCATGCCACCTGCAAATGCACATATTAGCAACGTGGAAACTCGGAAATTGAAAAATCGGCGGAGAGCCCCGCCATCGCGGGGTAGACGGGTTCGCCGTGGGGTTCGAGCTTTTTTCACGTACCCATGCCACCGAACTGAGAGAAGTCCTCCTCGCCAGCCTCCTCCTGCTCGTCCTCGTCGACCCACTTGTCGAAGTCGGTCTTGAGGTAGTGAACCTTCTTGGGCTCCTTCAGAAGACGGGGCCAGTACTCCTCCTTGAGCTCCTTCTTCTGGAGCTTGAGCTCGACGTTCTTGCCAGTGTGGTTGACCTTGCTCTCGGCGGGGTCGATCTCGGCGTAGAACTCAACGTCGAGGGCGTACGTCCGCTTCAGAGAGTCGGAGTGGCCCTTGAAGCTCAGACCGGTGGGCTTGAGGTCGAGCTTAAGGTTGGAGGCCGGGACGTCAGGGACGGAGATGGTCAGGTAGACGAAGTTCTTGGACTCGTCAGAGGAGCTGGAGCGCTGGGCCCAGAGAACTGTTGGAGGCTTGTTAGCTTGCTGCGCACACACAACGGCAGGGTCGGTAAATGGGCTGTC